ACCCACACAGCTACCCACCTGAATCTTAATTCAGAGTGTTGTTGTTACATTTAAAGGCCCTAAACCAGGGGTGTCAAACATGTGGCCCAGAGGCCGGATCAGGCCCCCAGAGGGCTTCTATCAGGCCCGCAGTGGAACTGGCTGTCTTCTGGTTCCTCTTCCAGTTCTGCTGCTGCTGCATCATCGTAGGTTTGCAGCTTACAGATACACACCTGAACAGCATACTCAAGATTGCAACAGCATAGATGTTTTGATGCAATAATTCAGAACAAGAGGTGTCAGTTATCGGACACTGTTTAATAAACAAAATATTGCAAGAGTACTAATGTTTTAAGCATGATTTTAAGTAAAAAAAACTTTTGTGTTTGTGTCTTTTAGAAAGTTTATATCTCCGCTGCCTGGCATTACATTTTATGACACACGTGGCCCGGCCCAACAAGGTCTCATTTATGTCAGATCCAGCACTCATAACAAATGAGTTCGACATCCCTGCCCTAAACTGCCTATTGCTGGAGGATCTTGAGCCCGTCACCCTCTCTCAAACTAGCATAGTTCACAAGGTTGTTGGGAAGATAAAAACTATTTATCATAGCGATGTCACCAGCATGGTTCAATCAGTGCTCATGTGATGTATTAACACACAAGCCCAGAGAGCGTCTACTATCACTTCAGGAGAATTTGACGGCTGGGGGAGAAAGTAACTCCATTTTCCTGGTCAGTAAATGCTTTCAGTTCTTTGAAAATGGAATTTCCTTGTGAAAGTAGTGCTTTTTGGCCAAAAGGTATTTCCCTGCCCATGCAAGAGTTGCCTGGAACGATATCTGCACATTTTGTTCCCCCCCCCCCAAAAAAATTAAACAGATTATCACAACTGCTGCTATGAGACTACAGTGGTGTTTTAAGTAAAAAAAGCTGTACCTAAAAAACAGACATAGAGTCTAGTGCAGGAGTCGCCAACCTTAACTTGCTGAACTTATGGGCATTTTTGGAATGTCACCACAAAATGCCTGCCATGGGGGGCGGGCACCACCACCAACAAAATGGCTTCTATGATGGCTTTGCCCAATCACAAACTCTCCATCCCCTTGTGATGGAGACAGATTTTTCTGAATGTGTGTTCCTAACGGATGAAAAATCCTGGATGCTTCAGAAGCAATAACTTTTCCAATGAGATGGAAGAAAGCCAGGGTTTGAAGGAAATAAGCACCAGGAAACGCATTGGTGGACATCGTTGCACTCAGGCGCATCATGTTCGGGATCACTAGTCTAGAAACCAAATATTATTCTGCCCTCAGGACCATTCCCTCCCCATCACTCCATACAGTCCATACCATAAAGGTAAAGGTAAAGGTTCCCTTGCTCGAAAGCCAGTCGAGTCCGACTCTAAGGTTGCGGTGCTCATCTCCGTTTCAAAGCTGAAGAGCCAGCACTGTCCAAAGACGTTTCCGTAGTCATGTGGCCGGCATGACTAAACGCCAAGGCGCACGGAACGCTGTTACCTTCCCACCGAAGTGGTACCTATTTATCTACTTGCAATTTCTGCTTTCGAACTGCTAGGTTGGCAGGAGCTGGAACTAGAGACGGGAGCTCACTCCGTCATGCGGCAACCCAGGTCTCGAACTGCTGAACTACAGACCTTCCACAGCCTGCAGTTCAGCGTCTTAACCACTTGAGCCACCGTAAGCAGCTGCGATTAAGCCAGAGTGCCGGATTTGGGAGACCCAGGTTCACATGCCCACTCAGCCACTGAGGCTTGTACTGGGTGACCTTGGGCCAGTCACATACTCTAAGCCTGACCTACATCACCGGGTTGTTGTGAGGATAACGTGGAGGACAGGCGAACAATGCAAGCCGCTTTGGGTACCCTTTTGGGAGAAAGGTAGGGTATAAAAATGAAGTTAGTAAATAAATTAAGGACATTGTTTACAAAACAGCTTTCATCAAGGGCTGGGTATTACAGAACATGCCTGAGCTAGAGCTTAAAAAGAGTTGTGGGACAGCAGGGAGACTCACTCAGTAACAGGAAAAATGTTTCACATGGAGAAGAGCACAGGCTCAGTCCCCGGCATCTCCAAGTAAAGCATCTCAGGTAGCAGATTTTGGGCACGATCCTTTTTTGGATGAGACCCCGGCGAGACCCCATTCCATACTGAGACAGACGGGCAGTTAGTCTGACTTGGTATAAGTCAGTTTTATATGTTTAGATATGCTCAGAGTGCTTTTCCCTTGTGAAAGGAACACTTCCTTGTTTGCCCTGAGGTGCAGCACTGGAAAAGTGGCCTGGAGTGAGAGCGCAGGCAAACACTCCCTACGGAGAAAATAAAACGGGAGATCAGGAGCACCTTAAATACTATCAGATTTTATTCTAGCATTTTGTGAGTCAATGCTCACTTCCCTCTGATGCAATGGAGTAAGCTGATCCATTTCTGTTAACAACAACAAAAATAGGTTGTGGTCGGGAAGATACAAAGAGAGGCTGGTTTAAAACAAGATCTAATAAGAAGTTTAATCGATTTAGAATAGGTCCACTCCAAAGTATAGGCAGATCGGGAAAGAAAGGTTTATATAAAATGCAGTGAAAGATAAGCAAATACAAGATTAGGAAGTGTGCAAGATATTATATATATCCCAGGTATTCCAGTGATGAATGCCAAGTCCCTTCTAATACCTGAGGGGTAAATACACTAGAACTTGTTAATGAATTCTAATTCAGCAGTTTCATGTTGGATTCTTCCTTTGAAGTTCCCTTGTCTGAAAACAGTAACTTTTAGACCAGCAACAAAATGCAGGTACATTAAAAACTTCACCTGATGGTTTCTATGTATTATATTAAATTTCCAATATGCCTTTATTCTTTTGAGTAGGGACAGAGCTCCTTATGTAATGTAGAGGAGAAGGCTATTTTTTACACCCTGGAAGAATCAAATGAGCCCATAACGGCACAGCTGATGTTAGTGGGTTATGTGATTTACTTAATTATTCTTTATATACTGTTTTCCCATGGAGCTCAGAGCAGTTTACAATAAAACCAGTTAATTATATATATTCAGTATATTGTGTTGCTTGAGCATATACAAGGACAAAGTTAGCATCTATGCTTGTTGTAGGGTTTGGGGGTTATTTGTGCCTGTTAGGTGGTCTATTGTCGTAGGTGAGGACTTGTTTTATACTAGGTGACTGCCTGTAACCATGGAAAGGCCTGCTTCCCTTTGAGAGAAGTATCATGGTCCAGGATAAGTCATGAATGATGCATGGGCTACACTGAGCAGAGAGCTCTAGGTGATGATAATGTGGTACTCTATTGTTATTTCCATTGGTGTAGTATGCTATTTCTTCCTGTAGTAGGCTATTTCTGGGTACCATTCTTGCTTTGTTAATCTGCTTCTTTACTTCATTATGAAAGATCAACTAGGGAGACATGTTCAAGCTTCACATGGGCAGTCTGTTTCATCTACATTGTGGCCGGGAGATCAAGACACATGCACAGACTCTTCATGCTACAAAACAGGTCCAGCAAGATTAGCATTCATGCCACCTCCATGTACAGGAAGAGCTGTGACTCTGTAGTAGAACATCTGCTTGGCATGCAGAAAGTCCCAGATTCAGTTCCCAGCATCTCCAGTTAAATATTAGGTGATAGATGATGTGAAAGAAGAGAGAAGAAAAGATTGGATTTATATCCTGGTTTACAAACTCCTTTCCCTTCCCCACACACATGGAGGATAGCAACCCTAAGGACAGCTGTGGTCATCTGTCCCAAATGGAAGTGAACATTCTGGGCTGCTAATAGTCTGCATCTCTCAAAACTTTATTTCATACCAAAAAAAATCCAGATGGCGTAGTAGTAGTAGTAGTAGTTTGGATTTATACCCCGCCCTTCACTTGGAGTCTCAGAGAGGCTTCCAATCTCCTTTCCCTTCCTCTCTCCACAACAGACACCCTGTGAGGTAGGTGAGGCTGAGAGAGCTCTTTCCAGGACTGCTCTTGAGAGAACAGCTCTGAGAGAACTTGTGACTAGAAACTTGAAGAGCAGCTGCCAGTCTGAGTAGACAATACTGAGTTTGTTTGATGGACCAATGGTCAGAATTAGTACAAGGCAGCTTCATGTGTTAATGTGTTCAAATACAGCCACTGCCCCAGCGGAACACCTTAGTGCAGATGGTTTTTGAAAATGCACACAGGTATATTATTATTGTTGTTATTGTTATTAAAATTTATACACCGCCCTTCCCCAAAAGACTCACGGTGGTGAACAACAGGTTCAAATATGAAATAAATTATTATCCTCAAAGCAGGGATGGCTTCACCTGTAAAAACACCCACCCCCCCCATTTCGGCATCCTCTAATTCCAGCAATCTGTTAAAGGGCTAATGCTTCAAGGCCAAAAGCATAGCTGTTCCACAGAAACCAGAACTTGCTACAGCCTAAGCCCTAATCAGAAAATGTAAAATCACTTACACGGCCAGGGGATAGTACAGGGGACACCATAATCCCCTCTGTTTTCCTGTCTGGGTTTTAAGCGCCCAATTCAAACTCTTAACTAGCTGTGTGGAAACAGAAACTGAACTTTCCTTTCTTCTTCTTCACTTCTCTGCTCCTCCCGCTCCCTTCCCAGAGTTTTCTTTCCTCCATCTTTGGCTGACTTTCTAGCCCGGCTGTTTACCTCTCTATGCTCCGTCACTCCCGCCCTCCTTTTGTCGTCACGCTCTGTAATAGACGACGCGGCCGGAGCAAGCAACGTGCGGCAGGCTTGGCGGCGGCGGCGGCAGCTTTTTTTCCTCTTTATAAGCACCACTGCATTGCCCGGATGTGAATGGATTACAATGTATCTTTCAGGGAAACGTATTACTATCAATTTCTCCGTGGGGGAGTCAGTGATGATGATGGTGATGATGAGGATGAGGATGAGAAGGAGGAGAGATCTGTAAAGTTGGAAGAAGTTTAAGACTTTCGGGGTGGTGTGATATTTTTTTTTTTTGCAAAAAAAAAAAGAAAAAAAAAAGAAAAAAAGAAAGAAAAAAGAAAAGACAGAGGGGTTAAATCGGTCTGCCACCGAGATTTTTTCCAGAACAGTTTATTAGCAGCCATGTGTTCATAGCTAAAGACACGGGGGAAAGTTCTTGGATCTTCCTTTTGTGTTACCGTTTTTGTTGTGATTTTTTTTTCTCCTTGCTGGCTTTTAATCTTGTATTATTTGGGTGGGAGGACTTTTTATGGCTTACGGTGGATAATCAAAAAACAAAGCAAAACCCCTTTCTCGGTGCAAAAACTGATATAAATGCGTGGAATATCCTCTGGATCAAGACTGAATGCGTGTTAAAAACTACTTTTTTTGAGGGTTAAAACACACGTGAGGCAAAAAAAAAAAAAGCACCTTTTGCAGAAGATATCTGTCATTTCTTCCCCTAAAATACTTTCCTTGGAATATTGTGAACATATTTGTGGCCATTTAAGGTAAAGTTACATTTGCTTTTAGAGTGATTTCTCTCTCTCTCTCTCTCTCTTTTCTTTTTAAAAATATTCATCCCAGTGTATTTTTAACTTGATGCAACTTGGGGCGATGTGGTTCGAACGGCTCTGTGTGTTTACACCTTGAACCAGACGTGTGTAACTAGAATAAATATATGTGCATGTCCCGCTACCAAATACTGAATTTGGTTTCTGTGTCGTGCTTGGAGAGGGGATGACAAAGTACGATCAATCTGGGGTTTTGTTTTCCGGGGGGGGGGGAGGGAATACCGTGCACCTTGCAGCAGCCAGCAGCATTTTTGAAATTAAAGTCGAGCATGCTTGCGAGGCGGGGGGAGGGGAGGAGGCTGGCAAACTCCCCAGAAAACTTGCGTGGACAAAAACAAGCGAGGCAGATCCTCAATTTAGGAACGAGAAAAAAAAAAGTTTTTTTTTCCTTCGCAGTGCTCTCTGTCTAGGCACACCGAGCTCCTGAAAGGTAGCATTAAGCGGCCTGCGAAAATTAAGAAAGGAGACGCACCGAGCAATATATTTCCAAGTGTCTCGACACAATGGTGTGTGTCTGTGTGTGTGGGTGTGTGGAGGGGGGCTGGAGAGGGGAGAGAGAATATTGTGAGTTCTTCTGGCGAAGTCTTTCTATCACGTGTATTTTGCAGCGGGGGCATAAAAGTTGCCTGGCTGCCCTGCGCGGGTGCGCGCAAGGCTGTGCGCGCGAGAGAGAGCCGCGGAAGAATTATTTTTTTATATAATAAATCTTTTAAAAGGGGTGGGGGCTCTGGGGAGGCGGGAAGGCAGGCGGGCTGGAGGGAGAGCGAAGGACCCCGGGCAACTCGTGCGCACGCTTCCAGCGCTCGCCTCGATCACGGGCATGGAAGAAAACGAGGTGTCCATTCGCCTTTATTGCCGATATATGTAGCTATAGATTTCCCATTGGGGGGG